GAAAAAAAAGAAGACTTCCTGTAAGTTGATGATAATGTGCTATATGAATCGGGGGGGGAGGGGGGAGGGGTGGGGGGGGAGGGGGGTCGGTGGCCGGGGAGGTTACCTCACCAAGCACGTACTGTATAACCCATGGATTCTAAGTTCAATCCCCATCACTGCCCGTATCGATCTAGATGAGTACCGGCGTGCAAGCGTGCGTCGCGGCATGGTGCACATTAAACACTTTAGGTCACCGGTCCTGCTGGACTCTCTATATTGATTAACTATACAGTGGGGACACCAGAAGCCAATTGGGGTGGACTAACAATTATTCCTGTCTGAACAAATACCCTCATTACCTCATTTATTATGTGAATCGACGTGTTGCTATAGCTGTGCTCACGGTCTTTTGGGGACTAAAGAGAGGTGAGCATGAACAGTGGAACCCGACGTTTGCTTAGTCTCTCAGTGAAAAGTTTGCGGCAGCCACCTTGGGCTTCCAAGCGGTTCCATTCCCTTTAATCGATGTTGTCTTAAACTTGTATATATCACTACTTACATAAACTATTATTTTATATCCTCATGATCAGCCTCATGTCTGGTAAATGTCGAATACCTCCCACAATTTTGTGTACTTATCGATCAGGTTTGCTACCCAAAATACGCGTTCGTGTGCATGTTCCTGACGTGTAACAGGGCTCAAGTAAGAGCTGGCGGGATTTTAGTTTGTCACCTGGCCTAAAATAGTGGAAACGATTACGAGCATTATCCGTCGCGTCGAGTCGCCTTGAAAATAGATCTTAAAAATTTCAGTCGACCGAATCTTTATCTGAAAATATACCATATTCAAGTTGCAGGCGAGCTGACCAATTCACGATTCCTCGCTAACTCGGCCGATCACAGCACCTCCTAATTATACTCCTTTGACCGCTAACAGGGCGGTGGAAGCTACGTGCCCGAGGGACCAGTCAACAGCCGGTCCTGTACCACGTGATCATTCTTAGAGTGTGCAGAATACACCCTTTTATGTGTTCCCTTAGCGTGCGCAGTCTACTCCCCCCCAGTGATTCGGCACTTCTCGCCTGGCTGATAAGCTATGGAAAGTTGTATAGACCGTTCCAACGCACAGCCCAGAGCGCAGCTCCCCAGCAAAGCATGAGCGTGTTTGTTGCTTTAATATGCGAGCGTCATATGCACGGACTCTAAAGACGGTACCTGCCAGAAGCACATCCATGGAATGGTTTATTAGTGTCGAGATGTCTTGGTGGCGACCTCTCAGTTATGGAATTGCCCACAGACGCCACTTTCACGATCAGTAACCCCCCCCCCCCCCCCCCCCCCCTTTTCCCGCGTGAGTTCCACAACTGATCTAATCTAGTAACGTTGAATTTGCTGTGGTGTGACGTCACGAGTTATGATCCTGGCTACTTATAATTACTTAGGAACCACAAGTTCGATGGTGTGTGTAAAAAGCAAGATGGAAGCTTGCATTCATCGCATTTTATTTTAAATAAACACCATCGAAGCTGACAGTCTGACCTTTGACAGACTTTCTCTTAACAGAGACCTCGCAGATATACTCCGTTTCACCTTATGTTGTACCGCAGCGAAGGCTAGAAGCGCGAGGCCATAGCGCTGGCAGGTGCCCTTGGTGCACGACAGCTTGTGCCGCCGAGATGTGCCCTAGAGCAAGGAGCTCGCGCTTGTAGCCTTTCCTGCCGTACAACACAAGGTGAAACAGGGTACGGCGTTTGACCAATCGTGGAAGGCGGACCAGAGCGACGCCTTTTCTTCACGGAACGTCATCACGCTGCGACTGCGCCGACTCGGTTGCTTCCCCACGTGTTCTTCGTTCCTCTCAGATTGCAATCCCAGATCGACTCAAAAGACGGCAGTTCCCCTCAAGATAGCAATCTGCGGTCACGCTATCTTCGGCCGGGGGGTGCGCCCGACTGCTAAAGTCCGAGCTGCGGCAGCCCTGCCGATGAGGCGTCTAGAGGACACAGGCGGACGCCCCGCAGGCCCGCGCACTCAGCATGAGCGCGGTATCAAGGGGGCAGACGTGACAAAGGGGCCGAAGCTACCGCCCGCGCTTATCTCCTGCCTTAGTCGCGCGTCCCCTACGTCACGAGCGAGTCACGAGAGAGGAGGCGAACACGGCAAACGCCATTGTTGAAACACAGTGATAACAGCATCTGGGAAAAACGGTGTTTATGGAAGACAGAATATAGATGAAAGAAAACGGAGTCGCAGTTTGTTTGATGAACGGGTGGTTGTGTCGGAGAGATCGTCATTGGTCGGTTCTGTCGCTGCGCGCTGGGCTGACCGGGCACGTGCACAGCCGGCCAATCGCACCGGAGGACTGCGCGGGGGCACGCGCGACGAGCCCCCGCACGCGATCGGCGGCACGTGCGATTCGAAGCGCGCCACAACGGGGGCCGAGCGGTGAATACCGCTTCCGTCCGTTGCCGTGTTGCGCGAGTCTCGCAGCTCGAAGCACGGGAAGCTCGCGCTGCGAAACCCGCGGGGTTCCTGGGTTCGATCTCCACCCCTGCTTGTTTCGATCTAGACGAGCATGGTGATTCGGCCCGTGTTTATGTAATTGCTACGGTGTGATGGACGTTTAAGACTCCAGGGCAAGCGGTCGTGCTGCACCGGACAAATTCTTTATTTACAGCGTGTGACAATGTCGCCACAAACTTTGGCAGACTAACCTCACTCTGTCTACGTACCTAACGATAAACTTCTGAGTTTCGCAAAGGAAAGGTTGGTTCAAACAGTTGCGTTTTGATTTTAAACGAGATGCTTAGGATCCGGACTATCTTTGTAATAACCCACCATGAAGGAGCGGCTGAAGATATATTCAAAATACATCAATGAGGTCAAAGCTTTACTACGAGCCCCGAGTTTTGTAAAGTGGTTTAACGAAAGTTACTTTTTTTTTTTTCCTTCTTTCTCTCAATTTCTTTTTTTTTTTTTTTTGCCGACGAAAGCATTTTTTATTAGTAGGATATGTTTAAGAACATTATTGTTCGTCGCCTGTTGGTAAGTATCGAGCATAAAGGAAGTTGATAATATACTTGGTATATCTTCGAACAGTGATTTGTTGTTCGTTCGCCTTGTGGGTCGAGTTTTGAACAGCAAGTTATGTTAAAAGTTCATGTTCATTCCTTGATTTTTTACAATTGAAATTGATCTTCCTAACCAGCAGACAAAAGATTATCAGAAGTTTAAGCTACTGATCTTAACCTCGATCCCCCTTCGCTTCCTTTTAATTTGGGATGAAACAGAATAAAGGAAGACGTTGACCACTCACAATTTTTAATTTCGAAAAAACACGCCACTTACAGACTGCATATGTATATATATATATAGAGAGAGAGAGAGCTACAATTGTTTACCGATTCGTTGTAGATCAACCGGTTTGAAGGGCAACTGCAATGCACTCGCCAATGAGAGTTACGTATCACAGAGCATGACCGTGATAATGCATTGTGTGCCACTCCTCCTCGAGCGCGTGCTTTTTACCTTTGATAACACTTGGTCGTACGCGCAGCCCCAGCCCAGCGGAAGAAATAGTGGAGGCGAAGCAGCTACTGCATTCTTAACCTGCCACCGACTGTAGCATGTTGCAACAGAAGCTGTATCGCGGAAAGTGGCGTGGTGTATGACGCTGTCGGAGTTGGTAGGCTACGAACACGTTCTTTTCAGATGCACCAAAAAACATTTTTATTAAAAAACAAAACAAAAAAACAAAAAACAAGTTTGGTTGAAGTTGCACGTAATGGATGTCGTACGATTTCCTACAATAAAGCGAGGATCTTTAACTACATGATAAGCAAAGCCCTCCGTTTTTATTTAAGCTTTCAATCACTGTGCTTTTTTGTTTCCCCCAAGTAAACATTTTAGCATTCATAAGCCACTGTTTATCCCCGCCTATTTTCTCTCTTCTTGGTTTCAAATTCTTCTGGAGTTACAGGGAACGTCGGGCGATATTCACGTCCTCTTTTTTAGCTACTAACTCTCACCGTTCACAACAGGTGTAGCAAAGAAAAAAAGAAATCGTCCAACACGATTTCGCGTGCGCAAAGTGACATACTCTCACGCTACTACATAACTTCCTTGCTTCTTTTTTTCTTTTTTGAGCGCGCGCGTCAGATAAAGCGTACGCTGTGACGCATAGAGACTGGGATACATAATTATTCCCAAATGCCCTCTAGGCGCTGTAAGTGAGCTGGCACCTAAGTGCAGAAAATCATGCAACAACGCACGGCAGAGAAGTGTGTCATCGAATAAATAATGAACCAATTTGAATTCAGTTTGACGAAAACAAACTCGGATGCACTGAAACATTAGACCATGTACTAGAAAATAATTTAATATTCCTGCGATGTCATAGAGAGTAACCTTCTGCTATTAACTAGCGTAGCTTATGTTCAATTTCCCAACATTTATAACGAAGGTACTGGTAGCACCGGGTTACTACGCAATTATATTGGCCGTCCAATGTTTGGGCTAGCTTTATATGTTTCTCTGAGCATTTCAATAAGGTTACATTAAAACTTTACTGGCTCAAAAAAAGAAAAAAAAACTTCGTTTATTTTTTTAGCGCGAAGCTTAGTTGTGCATTTCAGGTAAATTAACAGAAAAGATGACTTCCGAGACTTTAAATGGCGCAAGAATTTCATGGCTAAGCAGTATTTCCTGAAGGATAATAAACAAATTAAGAAAGATTGCGCTTTGACAGGTCTAACTTTGACCGGGACTGAAGCGACGGGTGAACCGCTATTTTATCTAGACCCGTCGAAATATTTACTACTATCATTATGAGACATCACGCCGGCATAACTGAGCTTAACACGCCTTTACTGCATTTGAGCTGCGACTGTTCAGGTTTAAAACCGGCCGTTCCATTGAACGGGGAGCGTGTTGAGCATACAAATTTTGGCGCGCACGAAAAAGGCGGAAGTGCAGTGTAACGGAAGGCACACAGCATATTTCAATGTTGATAGACTCACCCTCCTGGACTCCGCCCTGCTCTGCAGCTGATGCACGAATCCGTAGTTTCTCTCCGAAGGAGGCATCGTCATCGCAAGCGTAATCCGCACGCCCGAACCAACACACGCGCGATCGCGGGAGATTCTGGGACCCAGCACTTCGGGTGCAGCTCCGGTCGTGGTCGCGATCTGACATCGCGCTGGGAGCGAGGCACCGCTACTTTCGCTCCTCTGGTTCCCTCTCCCTTCCGCGGACCAATCAGAGGCGTCGGCGGTTCCCTTCGCTCTCTCGCGGATTCCCTTTCCCCGCCGCCATGTTCGGTACAATGTCGACTTCGGTGGCGCGCGTGGCGCTGCTTTTCTTTTCCTTCGGTTCTTTTTGTACCTCGAGTCTTGTTTTTGCTTCCGTACAGGAGAGGGAGAAGCGGGAGGGTCGAGCGAGCTCGTTCCGCATCGTATACTTTTGCACGTGCCGACCGACCACCGAGCGACTTCGGAGTGTAGGCAAGAAGATGAATGAAGAAAAACGAGAAAAGAAAAAGAGGGGGGTTGAAGACGGACGGCCCAAAGAGATGAAGGGCTGGAGGCGTCTTTTTACAAAGAAGCCATGGGAGGTGCCTCTTCCTTTGCTTCGTCATTTATTTTAACTGATCTGCCGTCCTATAGAAGAGGCCACAGGAAGAGGAGAAATCAGTTGCTTTTTTAGTAGAATTTTTGTCCTTGTTAATACCTATCTGTCGGCTCGTCGTTTTGTTTTCTCTCAAAGTGTACGTTGCCAGTACCCTGCTCTGACTTTCTCACAAAGTTTCTTTCGTGGCGCAACTGAGACACATGTACAGGGTGTCACAAAAGAAAATTTACACGGTCTTTTTTACCGCAAAAATAAACTAGGCATCGCCGAACCCTCATTCTCCGCCCAAAGGTAGCACTAGAGGTCACAACCAGATGCCAAAGTTTCAGCCCGATCCGATAACTTCATCAAAAGTTATAAATGATTTTCTAAAAATTTCAATGGGAAAATGGCGGCCGACGGAGTTTTCAAACACATGGGGCTCTATGGCACCAGAAACCGAAAACAGGCAAAAATGTGCTCCATCTTCCCATTGAACTTTTCAGAAAATCGCTTATAACTTTTGACTAATTTATCGGATCGGGCTGAAACTTTGGCATCTGGTTGTGACCTCTAGCGCTACCTTTGGGCGGAGAATGAGCGTTCGGCGATGCCTAGTTTATTTTTGCGGTAAAAAAGACCGTGTAAATTTTCTTTTGTGACACCCTGTAAATACCGGGGGCTAATAGACTGTACTCTGCATCCAAGTGTTGCCGCGTCGGTGGTTCCGAGGCAAAGCGCCAAACTGCGAACCCGCAGGCGACGGGTTCGAATCCCTGCCGAGGTGCCCGAAATCTGAAAAAGCTGCCGTCTAACCGAGATTTCGGTTTCATGTCAAAAGGTTCCCCAGATGGTCAAAAATAAATCATCAGTCCTCTGCTGGGCCATGCCAGATGCCCTGCGTTAGTTTGGCATGTAAACCCCAGACTTGACCGGTTCTGCGTTAACGTGTATGTAGTACGTTATCGAAGCTAGCTTAATCTCCACAGTGCCGCAGCTCCGCACTGATGCGCGAGCGCGTGACTTCGCACAAGTAGCACTCACCTGAGCGCTGCAGAAACCACGCTGGCCTTGACATTGCGACACAATAAGTGACTCATGCATATTTGAAGCATCTACTACCATGTTTGTTCTGACATACACGATCATGCGCCGGTGGCTGAGTTGGAATTTGATATCCAAATAAAATATCGCGCCATCGAATGTGTCAGACAACAAAAATATCAACCTTCTTTTTTTTATATATTATTTTTTAATGATACATAGGCGTTTGGGTTTGTGCCAGATTCGGGATATCAGGAATTGGAATATCGCGTCGTTGCGTCCGGGCAGTCGAGATTCGTAAGCGCCTAAAAATAACGCCGGTGACAGTTTCCTGCCAAATAAAACATGCACTCGTCTACAAAAAAAAAAAAAAAAAAAAACACCTTTAATGTTAGTTATTTTAATCCCCATTTTTAAATTATCACCCTTATTTCGCGATGCAAACAAAAATTATGAGCCTTCTGAAAAAAACAAAGGAAAAAATAGCGCTGCGGATGTATTACATGATTGCTGCGCACCTCCCGAATACCACGTGACAGTCACACGCCATGAGATTGGCTTCATTGGCATGCAGCGGCCTCTGCGGTACATCGTGAGGCGAACCGGCGCATGAAAAGTCGGGATTGATAAATTTGGGGGGTTATTGGTAATGAAGTAAGACTTCGTTAACGAGGAAATATGGAAATAGTTCTTTGTGGTCAGGTTACAGCATTCTTAAAATCAACGAAATTAAGGATTGTGGCAATGGATGTGGAAAGGTGGTTCCAGTCTATAGATGCATAGAGGTAGGAATGAATGATAATCGCTACGTTTGGCCCGAGTAACGCGAGTAATAGTGTTTAGTTTGTAGTCTTTTCCTCGAGGAACGAGTAGGACATAACCTTGCGTTGTTCATGTGGACTCGTGCTGAGTGCCCGTCATCATGACCAACAGTGAAAGACATTTCGCTTTGGCTACGCTGCGAGGCGCCACGTGACGTCTAAACATTGGGGATGCTGCAAACGCAATGACAACAGCGATCCTATATGAGCGGAAGCGTTTGTAAAGGTTGCTTGGCCTCAGAGCGCGGGTGTGCACGGAAATGCTACCTTTACAGGAACTAATTCGAGGGGTCACTGGAGAAGCTCTCCAATGAAACCTATTTGAGGAAATAGTAAAATTTTCATATTTATTATGCACTATAAATCTCACGTAACTACAAACCTCGGGATATTTTTTTTATATGATACTCAGAAATTTAAGATTTCCCTGGCGGGGTTTATATGACGGACCGAATGCAAACGCATATAGCGGGCATAGGAATAATAAGCATGCGGGTCTGCGTTTCCAATCAGTATGAGTTAACGTTGTATTATTGATGTCGTGCTCTCTCTCTTTTCTCTCCCTTTCTCTCTCATCAGGTCTCAGTGAAACCTTTCAAATAATTGATTTCAGACGAACAACTGCATAAATTGCAAAAGTCCCCGGAATGAAATCAATTGTTTACAAAGTTTCACTGATAAGTTTTTGGTTGTTGTTGTTGTTGTTTTCTTGTGAGAGGGCCAGCAAGGGGTGAGTGTCCCAGATAGAGAGCCAAAATTTAAGATCACTCAAACTATGGACATCTCTCGCAGTCTAATGGCGGACGCCTGCTGGCTGCTGCACAGATTGGGCGCACGTGCGCATGCAAGGAGGACAGCGGGCGGACAGCCGGAGCAAGACAAAAGCGCTCGGAGCGGACGATTGACGCCTTCGCCTCCTCCTAGCACTTAAAAAGCGGCTCCTAAATCACGGAACCACAATTGAGCAGTTGGAAACGCTCTCAGATCTAGGCACACTGGTCCCAAAATGCTGCGGATGAGATTAAGACGCATCGGAGGGTAAGACGGTGAAAAATGTGCGCAAAGTTGGATAGCGCAGTGGTGCTTATATATGCGAGCTGGTCAACCGCACCTTTCTATTTTTAATGATTCCAAAATTACTGAGCTTCCTTTGACTGACCTTTCAATCATTTACCTAAAATAGAAAAAAAAGTGACGTTTATCGTCCCAATGTTTACCAGCCACCCTAAACAGAAAAGTGGTATCACGCGTTTATTGACGCGAAGTAATGAGACTCAATAATACGCAAAGTACTTAACTTAGAAGTAAAGCGCATAGTTCCCGTTAAAAATAATAACAAAGCAGTCTGCGCTTTGGAACTGTGCATGGTAAGACGTCATGCTTAGTGCGAGAGCTCAGATGTAGTGTGTGTGTGTGTGTGTGTGTGCGTGTGCGTGTGCGTGTGTGTGTGTGTGTGTGTGTAGAGGTTTAAACACATTTTCAGCTTCGTGATTGGCTGAGCCCCCTCGGCAGTTTGCCGCGATAGGCTCTTGTAAGTGCTTCGCGAACAAGTATAGACGCTCCAAATTTCTTAGACTGTCTCTAACTGACAGCCTAAGAAACGTGGGGCGTGGCGAGTCGCGAGCATCCCATTATTGTTCCGCAGCCAATCAGATAGCTGCGTTGGCTGATAAGACAACCCAAGAACCAATCACGAAGAAAGGATTCGTGGACATCATAGGCCACCGCCTGGGAGAAAGGGGGGAAGGGATGGAATGCGAAGGATAAAACGAGAGCGAGCGTGAATGCGGTAGATACCACCGAGAAGGACGTTCTAAGAAGGGTCCTTTTGAGAAGGTCCAGTTGAGAAGCTCGAAATGAGAACGGGCCCAAACGATCGCCATCCGCCCAGGGTATACCCTTTCCTCGTAGCCTTTTGTACGAAGGGGGGGGGGGGGGGGGGTAGCAAGCTGGGCAAGCGAGTTCCACTGAGCAGAGTAGACGCGTATACTACACTCTTAAAAAAACTCGTGCGTTTACTTTCCCGCACAACACTCGGAGAGCCAATCACTGTAACTTACGGAGGCAGCTCAGCAAATGACGATGTCGAAACATATGTTTAGACCAAAAAACGCAGTCTCACTCGTGACATTAAGCAATGCGAGCACGTTTTGCATTGCTTAATGTGACAACTCAGACTGCGATTTTTTGGTCTAAATATGTTTCGGCATCGTCATTCGTTGAGCTGCCTCCGTAAGTTGCGGTGATTGGCTCCCCGAGTGTTGTGCGAGAAAGTAGACGCACGGGCTTTCTTTTAGAGTGTAATGTGAATTCTCCATAAAAACGAGACAAAAATGCACGTATTTATCTAGTTCATCCCCGAAAACGAGGTCTCAAGAAATCTACAAGGTGTCCCCGAAAAAAATGATCATGGTTTTTTTCACCGCAAAAATAAACTACGCATCGCCGAACGCTTATTATACGCCAGAAGGTAGCGCTAGAGGTCCGAACCGGATACCAAAGTTTCAGCGCGAACCGAGTTTTTATTTAAAAGTTATAAACGATTTTCTGAAAATGTCGATAGGACAATGGTGGCCGACGGAGCTCTCGCATACATTGTGTTCTATGGCACCAGAAACCGAAAACGTGCGAAAATAGACCCCATTTTTCCGTTGAAATGTTCAGCAAAGTCTTTACAACTTGTGAGCGAAATATCGGTTCGTTCTGAAAGTTTGGAATCTGGTTCGGACCTTTAGCGCTACCTTTCGGCGGAGAATGAGCGTTCGCCCATGCATAGTCTA